GGCTGAGAGAATGCAAAGCATTCAAACGGCTTCAAACTACAACATATAGGGGCTTCTTTACTTTGTGGTGAGTGAATCAAACTGAATGAGCCAATGAGCAAGGAAGCTTTTGCTCTACCTAACGTTGTCTCAAGCTGGGCGGGTAAACTGCTCAACTTGCTGGTCAATCGGTCGACCCACCCAAAAATGCTCCTTCACAGGGCTCTGCCGGACGACTGAATGGTCGCTTTTATTTAAGTCTGTCAGAGTCCAGGCGACTTTCATGTCAGAATCCAAGCAGCAGAATCCATGCAAAGGTTCGAGTGCCAACTCCATGGCTTTTCCCTGGAGCGGATCAGATGCCCCAATGCGTTTTCGAAGCACAAGCGCAAGCACAATCAGTTCGGTTCCGAACCGAGACAGGAACGAACGACCGAAAGAGAGTTCATGGTGCGTTGACGTCATGGCATCACGAGCGTTTGGTCCAAACAGAAGCTCTTTCGTCATAACACCACGTCATAACGGCCACTGCAAAGCAATCTACAAGATATTGACATGATTTGACAATATATTGACATGTAATTTTGGCACCAAAGCAAGGGGTGGAGAGCGATGGATGGAGAACAGCTGACGGTCTCACCAGTTGTGGTGCGTTCGTCAATATGTTTCAATCATATATCAATATGTATCCGCCTTTGTTAATTCTTACTTGGTGCCAACTTGGTGCCCTAACATTTTCTATAAACGTGCAGATTGAACAGGTTGATGATGACTTGTTTCTTGCATTTTCTAGGATTCTAGGAAGTACTGCAGTTTGAGGAGATGATGATAGGGGATGGTCATCGGACTTGCATTTTCTAGGAAGCTCAAACAAGAACAGTGCTGACCACATCATTTTCTGTAATCCGCTCCACCTAAAATCGTACTGGAACATCTGCCGGCCCAAGTTCTCCTTGAAATTCATAGACATAGCTGGGGCTGGGATCAATGTGTACTTTCTTTTCTTGGCGCTGAGAAGCCCAATCTATATATTTCAGTGCTGGCTCCAGCACCGCAACGTGGATCCTGGGATACGGGTCGCACATGACCTTTGCAAATTGGCAAGCGTCACCCGTGCGACCTCGCAAGCGTCACCCGTGCGACCAAGTAAGCGTCACCCGTGTGTTGGACAGGGCGTGGTGAACCCCATCATGGTGAGGACGGGGTGAACCCTCCGTGATGACTGGTGGATGCACGGTGGTGGGGGTCTCGGAGGGAAGCCCTCACAGGCATAGGACCTAGGATGGCTCCAAGCTTCTTTGCCAAGCATCCTTTAACGCCGGTCATTACTAATCATCACCAAAGAGTAATTATTTTGAGCATTGCACTTTATGGCATGTGCACAAAGGTAATGTGGAGGCTGATGTCCATGTCAACTTGTAAGTTGGGTTTGCCCGAACCACTCTTTTCAGAGAACCCCAGGATGTTGATTTCAGCCTGGACATCCTTCTTCCTTGCTCCAATTTTTCTTCCAAGGATCCAGAGGACTTCGGATACCTTGTACGACACATGAGGAAACACATGAACTTGAGGAACAAAGGGACGTGCCCTCAACGGAAGTGGACAACACGTCCTCGTGCTCCTGGAAGACGGGCTTTTTTGACACATTGCGCATCATGTGGATGTTTTTGCATGCCGCATTCGTTGGAGGGAGAGTCTTTACTTGTGGTCTTGGAGGGTTCGGCCCTGCGGCCCGGCAGGATCTACGGAGATTCTCCTCCAGCTGATGCAGACAAGGACCGGGGGCTGGCGGAGTCTTCCCAAGTGGAGCTCAGCTGTCGGAATGTGTTTCATTCCTGACTTGTCATGTCCTTACTCCTTATCTCCTTGAAAGGTCCCGGATCCCTAGAGCCATGGACGATGATAGGCTGCGGAGGGGCACGTTTTGGTCAACCTCTCCAACCCATGGCCTGATGGATATCTCGACATATGGTCCGATGCCTTCGGCACATCCTTTCAGTCGCCCAATGGCTGGACGAAGATGGTGGAGAGAGCCATGTGGGATGTGCGATGCGCGAATGAGGCTCATCCACGCTGTGCTTCCGACATCATCCCAAAACCATCCCAGACCACAGCTGGCCCAGGATTCTTCGACTTAGAGGCCTGGTGGTGCAGTGACGGTCTTGGAACGGGGTTTGGATGGGATTTCCCAGAGAGAAATGGCGGTTCAGTTCCTTTACATGACCAGGTGCTCCGCGATGTTCCGTGTTTCGGCCAGCGGTGCTACTAGCGGTGCGACACAACACCCGCCCTCCGGCGCTACGACGCCGGTGTTTTGCGCCGGATGTGATGGATCGGATACGGAGCAGTTGACGGAGCAGCATCGATTTCACCATGCCCTAATTGATTTGGTGTCTTACATGCTTGAGAGTTTGGGGTTTCCACGGGGCCGGATTGTTTTATTTTCACCAAATTGGGAGTAGGACTGCATCGGTTGCAGGTCTTGGGTGTCGACAATTGATCGCCTCTCAGTTGACCCAAAAGATACACTGCGACTCTGCGACGGTGGAAGACTAAGACTTGGAAAACCGGAGGAAGCTAGCCTTTTCCGGGGCCAGGGTTCCAGATTTTCGACATCCATGTTAGTCTGTTAGTGAGTCCGAGTCGAGTTATCTGTCCATATCCTGCCTGTGTTGGCAAGCATTTGGTTTGTTATTGTTTGGTGAATCGGTGCACCAACGCCGGTGCCGACTGGCGAGATGGGACGCTTCCTGGCCGACTGTTTTTTTTTTGGGCCCGTCAACGATCTCGTGTTTAGAGCGTGCGAGGGTGGATCAGACCCCGGCATGACCAGACGCGACCCTCAGCATTTCATTTGAACATAATTTGACCCCTTGAACCGGCTATGTGAAGACATGGTAATTGATTCCCAGACGCTCGTATTGGAGGGGTCCTATGGAGGTGTTTGGGGTCGAACCAATCCCAATCGGTTTTGGTTTGGGACCGGTCGAGCAGTGAACGGAGCGTCTGGGGCAACCAGGTCCCCACAGCTTTTGGGTGATGTTGGGATGTTCCACAGACAGTCACAGGGGATACCTGCCTTTTTCACAACTACCATCTACGATCATTTACATTTACAGTATTCGGGAAGAGATTGGGAGAACTTGCTTCAGCACATTCCCAATTCGACTTCAGGTGATGAGCGCGTTCGGACCCTTTTGACGCGTTGGCACCCGAACCCGCTGGACGCTGGATGTGGTGAGAATGGCTGGGGATTGCTATCGGGCTCGTCGGACCAGCCTGCAAGAGTGAATACGCATGTTGGTCATTAAGATTAGTCCGGGTTGATCCTACGTATTGGTCATCCTGTTGGTCCGGGCAATTTTGTTTTGTTGGTCAATCCTGCAAGAGGATTGCGTTTGCCTGCTTTGATCATTGATCCCGTTTTCGATTAGTCCAGGTTGGTCATTATATGTACATGTTGTAGACAATTGTCAGAACTCTCTGATATAATATGACTGTATGTTTTCAACAGCACACTGCAGTTTTGACCATTCTTGTCCTCGCCAACGGCCAGCACCGGCTGCGGCGGATGGCCGCGCCAGGAAAGACCGGAACCGTGTACAGGGCCTCGTGCTTTCGGCCGCCCAGCGCCCAAAAAGGGATCGATGGCGATATCATTGGATGCCCAGGGCCGCTCAGGCCCCAGGCCCCGGAGTTTTGCATAGTTTTTGCCCCTTTGGGATCAGGCTGGGGTGTCTTTCTAAGAGTTCATTTTGCTTACCAATTATTTTTATATATTTTTATATAACTCAGGTAAAGTGGCAAGTGCCTTGTTAAAGATTATTGAAGAGCAGCAGACCGAGAACATCCGATATGTCTCATCAAAAGTCGTCCACAGCTTCATTCCTGTGGGTTTTTGCAGAGCTAAATTGAGGAAGAACACATCGACATGAACACAGCAACAGCACGGAGACTATATCAGGCCCCAACCATCCCCAACCTGTAGTTTGGTAACAAATGCACCCTTTATGAGGAACGACTATAGTATAATTAGATAGAGAAACTGCCTTGCATTCACAGGGCCAGATTGCGCAAGCCGGCGCAAGCACCAAAGCCAGCAACGCGCATATGATCAGAAATTGAAGCGACCAAGATCCATTGGTGATGTTCAGCAAGAGCTATAATGCTTTATAGCCACAATCAAGCAGAGTGGCGCTGCTCATGGACAGGTGGGCGTGGTCGAGGGATGGGGGTGGTTTCACAGGCCAAACCTGCAGATGAGCCGCTCGTCTTTTCCTTCCACCTGTTGGGTCAGGACAACCACTACCAAGCACATTCTGGGCATATCCAGATGTACCGCACTGGACTCCTTGTAGTAGTTAGCATCAGAAAGTGAGGCCCCCGTCCTTGGAGTAGGCGACATTCATTTGGCAACGCACCAAACACAATCAGCTTTTCATCTATAGAACACGGCTGTTCCATATCATATTCAAGCATGCCTAATGTCGCGGTCGAATTTCTGCGACTCGGACGGCTGGGTGCAGGGCGACTCGGTGGTTCTCATGGAACGGTTTGAGGAACGACCCAGGATTTGCTGCGTAAGGGAGGCCATGGCCACGTGATGAGGTGTACTCCAGTTTTTCCATATGGCGATGTGCATCGGGGCCAGAGTTTTAAAATCTGAAGAAGATCAGGTTACTGCTGGAGGTACACATAGATATACACTTAGGTTTCGGCCGTGCATGGATGCCCCCCAGACTCAATCAACCACGACCATTTGTTAAGGAAGAGCAACCTCAAGTCAAGTCAGGACAGAACTTAGAACAAGCCAGTTGGGTGCAATTTACAAGTGATGCTGTTGGGAGATTCCGCAACGAGTCGAAACCTGCCAAATGGTCCAGTCCTTCCCAAAAAGCCCACGGGAACGGCATGCAGGTGACAGGACCCGTCCTTGAAGGGCGGAACGGCAAGGGGCCCAAGGTGAGCCGTGGGCAAGTGCAGTGTCAATAAGTATCCCCGTCTTTTTTCCCTTAGCCATGCTGCTGGGGGGGTGGGGGGTTAGTTGCGAAGGCCGAGCTAGGGGGAATGGCCTCAGATGGTTCGGCTCATTTCACATCACTTCTCCACGAAAGGCGGGCATTTTTGCATGAGAGCCGCATTCAACTGGTTCAGATTCTCAGCGTGATTTCATCATGGGGAAAGGCATCCGTGCTCTTTTGGCATTGGTGGGCGCCTGGGCGCACAACCATGGTGGAAGCCACGACCACGACAGCAATTGTATGCACATGACATCAATGGTGAACTACACCTGCCACAGCACCACTTGTGACGGATTCATGGCATACAAGAGTGACCACTGCACTTCCAGCAGCAAATGTCCAGCAGTGGTCATCATTCAGGACTGGACGGGCATGGATGACTATGAGATGGAGCGTGCACGCATGCTCGCCGGCATGGGCTACGTGGCGTTTGCTGCAGACATCTACGGTCGTGGCACGCCGGCTGAGAACATGGCAGATTGGGGTGCTGCGGCGGGCGCTCATCGTGGAAACCCTGATCTCTACATGTCCAAGATCAACGCCGCACTTGACCAGGTCAAGACCTACGACTTTGTCGACACCACTAAGATTGCAGTGATTGGCTACTGCTTCGGAGGATCAGGCGGGGAGCCGGCTTAGAGGTTTAGACACAACCAAAACGGGTCGACGGGTGATTGTGGACATTAGGCATCCTGAAGATGTTTTTGCCATAATCAGACATCCAAAAAGTTTTGCTTCAGAGAGTGTGTTGATGACTATCTATCAATCAGGGTCATTGAGCCAATCAGGTACTTTTGTGCTTGGGCATGTGTTCCGCTCACGGATCTTAGAAGGACTTCCAGAAGACACACGGAGAAAGCACACATATACTGAATATATACAATCATATACAATCATAATCAATAAATGTATATGATATCATATATATATATACATTTATCATTTTGCTCTATAAATATATACACTTATACAGGAGGTTAAAGAAGGAGCTCTTGAAGCCACGGCAATGGACAGGCATATTCTGGTTTACTTCTGGGGCAGTAAACTTTGTGCTACCTTGTGAGATGACTCGAGAGTTCTAGACGATGTTGAGATCACTCTTCTTGGGTGCATGACACTAAATGAATCCAAAGGATCTTGATCTATTCTCACAGCATGCTAGCACCAGAAAGGAAACAAACAGGTTGTTTGTGGTGAGATGCAATTTTTGTTTTGCATTGTTGTGTCACCTCTGCATCTCTGATGTAAATTATGCCCCTCCACAAGAGGATCAGCCCCTACCCAGCGCGCGGTCCCTCCGGCAGCAGCACGAACACACAGTTTTTGCGCCATGGAGCTCAGGTGTGGTGAATATGGCCATTCTCGGCTCAGACGTTCTTGGTGTTGTTGGCTACCACTCCGGCATTCAAACCAGTTCTCGTGTCGTGAGAAGCGCGAACAGCACGGTGCCTGTGGTGTCCAAGGTCTTATTGCACTCCGGCGTGGATGATGATGCCGCCACGGATGTGGCGTTGCTGGAGCAGGAGTTCGAGGCTGCTGGAGCTACCTTTGAGATTGTGCGCTATGGCTCAGACGTCCTTCACAGCTTTACCGAGTGGAGTGCCAATTCTCCAGGCTTTGCGGTGTATGACCACAGGGCAGACTATCGGTCCTGGGAAAGCACCAAGCTTTTTCTGAATGAGCTCTTTACTGGATTGCCGGCAGCGGAACGTGGGCCAGAGAATGCTATGATGCACACAGCCTTGCAGAACTACACTTGCAACACCACGACATGTGAAGGGTATATTGCATACAACAATACCCACTGCACTTCCAGCAGCAAGTGCCCAGCGGTGGTCATCATTCAGGACTGGACCGGCATGGATGACTATGAGATGGAGCGTGCGCGCATGCTAGGTGACATGGGCTACGTGGCGTTTGCTGCAGACATCTACGGTCGTGGCACGCCGGCTGAGAACATGGCAGATTGGGGTGCTGCGGCGGGCGCTCATCGTGGAAACCCTGATCTCTACATGTCCAAGATCAATGCCGCACTTGACCAGGTCAAGACCTACGACTTTATCGACACCACTAAGATTGCAGTGATTGGCTACTGCTTTGGTGGATCTGGTGTGGTGAATATGGCCATTCTCGGCTCAGACGTTCTTGGTGTTGTTGGCTACCACTCCGGCATTCAAACCAGTGCTCGTGTGGTCAGGAGCGAGAATAGCACGGTGCCCATGGTTGCAAAGGTCTTGTTGCACTCCGGCGTGGATGATGATGCCGCCACGGATGTGGCGTTGCTGGAGCAAGAATTTGAGGGTGCAAAGGCAACATATGAGATTGTTCCCTGGTACTGTTTTAAGATCTTGGTGTTTTTACTGTATATGTTTTTGTATGGCTTGTGTTCTTATACTCCCCTCAGAACCATTGCCAGGGTTGTCCTGTGGCCACATTTGCCATATCGCAGGCCAGTCCTGTGCTTAACTATACCGTATCAGGGCAGCAAAGGTCATCCAGGTCCAGGTTATTTGATTCACTTCCATGTGTCCATCAGACTAGTTTGTGCCTCCCCTGCAAACAACAAGACTCTTGACCTTACGCGATGTCAAGAGCTGAAGCCATATCAGGTCCGCTATGGCTCCAATGTGGTTCACAGCTTTACCGAGTGGCAAGCCAACAATGCTCCCTTTGCCATGTATGACCACCGCGCTGACTACCGATCCTGGGAGAGCACCAAGCTCTTCCTGAAGGCAGAGCGGAGGGTCGGTGAGTCATGAGTCGGATCATGAATCAGCTCGTGGTTCGTCAGGCTGTCAGCCACCCCTAAGAAACTCGAAGGCTTTGATAATGTGTTGGCAGAATTCCTGGGAAGTCTTACTAACTGCGCCTGTCAGGAGCTCTTCATGGGCTTGCCGGCAGCCGAACGTGCCGAATGTACCGTGGATGTTGAGGGAAGGGCAAGGTGGTGGGCACATAATCGTCCAACGTTGACTTGCCAAGCGAGGGATGGGCTAAACAAATCTCCGACTCCATCAATTTGCCGTCTTTTTGCTTCTTGTTCCTAGCAGCAAGAATGATACTAGTAGCGCTAGTAGTAAGGCCAGGAGCCCCTAGTAGCTTTTTTTGTGGTTAGTTGGGGATGGAGATGGTAGAAAACCTCATGATTTCCATCCAAATGCTGAACTCCATGGTGGCTGGACCTGTCAAGCAAGCCTGTTGGCGAGGAAGGCGAAAGTCGTGACGCCCGGACGGAGCGAGTTGCTCAGGTCAGATGACAACGACCGTGCAAGAGGCCTGGCGGATCCTGGTGGGCTGACAGATGCAGGTAGTAGTGTTGCAGGTAGATACATGCCAAGAAACTGCATTTATTCAGCTCGACCCGGAAAGTACCTTTGCAACGGTCCTCACACGGAAGCAATTCAAGCACTGTCACAGACCCCTATATGACATATGACATCCTAAGCCACTATATGCCACTGACCCGGGGGTGTCATGACCAGCATTTCAGTCTTTTCACCTGCAGCGCCCAGATCGACCAGGTGCAATCAAGCAGCGCCAGCTCCGCCACCGCCGGCGCTGCCGCTGCGGTCGCGTTGAGCTTGGCTTTGGCGTCTTAAGGCGTGACGAGTTGGGAGTTGAGAAGAAGGGGCCCTTTTTGGAGAAGGGTCGACCGGGTCGAGGTGTGAGTAAGGTGTGGACTGGAAAACATATGAAAAGAGACGCCCGCACGGGGCGTGGTTCTTGGTGAAAGGGCGTGGTTATGGAACAGGTGTGTTTTTTGGTCGGGATGCCAAAAGCTTTTTCTGCGTATGCTGCATGCAGAAAAACACATGTTTAGTTTTGTGTCCAGAACCACCTTACTGGAATTCTTTGCCAAACTCTGGGATTTGGTCGCCGGGTCCCTTGGGCCCCTTGGTCCGGTCCCAAAAAGTCCACTCATCGATCCGCTGCGTTCACCCCCGGTCCCTTGGGTCGGGTCTCCAATCCCTGGTGACTCGGAGTGGTTCCATGGTTGTGCTGTTGTGCCCTAGTAGTTTGCTTCCCCGGCCCCCGGATGGTCAATGTATGCTGCGTGCGAAGTCTATAGCCGGGATGGATGTATTCCAACCTTAGCCTTAGTCGCTTTTGTAGTCCAACCTTAGCCATTGGTAGGCCACCCCAAAAAGTAGATCAGCAAGTGCAATTCTGCCAAGTGTCATTTTTCTGTGGGCCATTTGAAGGTGCAATTTAGAGTGGCTGTTTGAAAGGTTTCCTGGTGGCTTCTTGGGCTTATTTGGTGATTGCTTTGGGCGCCTTTTGCTTTTTGGCTTATGCTGGCTTTTTGAGGCTTGTGGTGGCTTTTAGCTTCCTACTGGTTTTGGCTAGCATCTCATTTTCGATGCTTCAATGGATTCTGGTTGGTTAAGGGGGGATCAGTCAAAGGCTTGCAATGCCAACAGCGCACATACAAACAAGCCCGAGATTGCTGCGAAGATTAGCAGGTCTAAGACTCACATGCCCAAAAGGTTGCCAATACAAGCAGGCCCTTCATCCGAAGCAAGGGCCTCGGGGGAGGGTTCTCTGGGGATATTTCGAGGCCCACCTTAAGCTAACCAAGTCACCTATGTTGACTTCAGAAATCGGAGTTATCCTGTAGCTTTTGAACTGAGAAGAGACACCCATCCTCGCACGACCCGCCGACTCGATGAACCTGCGTCGAAACGAATGACTCGATGCCTTCTCGAGTGACGTTGTTCAACGGTTAAGGCATCATAATAGTCAGCGGGGCGGAATCCAGCAGCTTTCGTACCATCCTGTTCATCGTGCACAACAGTCTTACGGTCTTCGAAGATACCGGACAGATCCAGCACAAGTCATCGCAAGGCCTCGAACCAATCTCCCAATAGTGCAGCACAACTGGTCCGTCAGGGAGTATGAACATTTGATTCAGCAATCCTCCTGGGACTTGCATTGACCAGTATCTGAGCGGGCTGTTTGTTGTTGTTCAGTGCTTCTCCTTGACCGATCTCCATTTGCAGATCTGGCTGGGCTGGACCAGTTGCGGCACCACGCTCTTTTTGGGCAGATCGGGCTGCTTCTCCGAAGGAGAGGGAGGTCGTGAGGTCGGGAGGTCCTGGAGTCCAGTCCTGGTCATCCCCTAGCCTTTGAAGACTAGTTTCAAAATGGCAAAGCAATGGCTTCGTCGTGTCAAATCCGCAAAGCAAAGCAATGGTTGTTGGGTAAAGACTCTCAAAAGACGGGCGGTTGGAAGCTCAGCGTGTTGGTTCCTCGGGTGAATGAATTCCAGTGATGGGGTGAATTCAACCTGGGCCGGTCGAGAAAGCAAGACATCAAGGAAAACAGGTGTGAAGACACTTGTTGACCATCGGGTACCCGGGTACCCAAAACAAATGGCTCGCTCCACATAAGAAATCGTATTGAAGTGAGAAGTGGATCTATTTCCTCACAGACCAGATCGGAAGACAATAAATAGTATGGCCACAATCAGAGACTCTTGGTGGTTTAGATTGGATAAGGCTGAGTTCAGCCATCTTTGGAAGTTGAGCTCTAAAAGCCCTGAAGGCTCCGAAGGGTCAACAAGATTCCGAGGTTGGAGAATCCACTTCAATCAACTGGAGTTCATTCAGACAGTGAGGGAGTGGAGATATGTGGAGATGCCATATATATAACTAACTCATATAATGTATATATAAGATGGTTGATGATGTGTTATTGTTTGTTCGTTTGATGATGTTGATGTTAATGTTGAAGCTGGTTGATGATGGTTAGATGTGTTGTTTTTCTTTTGGTTAATGTTGAAGCTGGTTGATGATGGTTAGATGTGTTGTTTTTCTTTTGCAATGTTGATCGTCCACCCGTTTTGAGAAAGAGACCGCAGCCCAAAGACATCCACCAAAGCGGCTTTGGACCATGACTCGGACACCGCCCACTCAGTTGGTGTTTCATGGCTTTTGACACCGCCTTGTCTGCACAAGTCCAGGAGACATGCCACCCTTGATGCCATGACCATTGATCGGCATGATCTCAACCGATCGGTTTTTTGGTTAGTCGCGATTTGCAAATGTTGTGCTCATTCATTCGTCACGACTGACGGAGTGCCACCAACTTGCGGTCAAAGAGTTGTCCAAGTGATCCTCCAAGTTCTGGAGGAACTCTTCTACCTTTTTGACTTTCAAGAAACACCACAGGAGCTCTTCCCTGGACCTATGGATCCAGCCCTCCGTCTCAAGCCATGAAACTTCACTGAAGGGAAGTACCTGGGAATGTGAAGGAACCAAATTCATCCTAATTCACCTGTCCAAACTAGCTCGGTGTGCGACGAGACACTCCCCGGCACATGGACAACCGGCGCGCAGGAGGAGTCTTCCACGATCACCGTCCTGAGCGGCTGTTTTTTTCGAATTTTCAACATCTCAGCCGGGAGGGTTGAGGATTTTCAGAGTATCCAACGTTTGATGCTCCAAGACGGAGCCACATCCTGACTCACGCTGCGTCCATGTTCTTCTTTTTGAGCCACAAACAAATTTAGGGGGGCTCAGAGAAGCAAGCAGGCCGTTCTTCTCGTGCAGTTGCTGGTGAGGAAGGATAGGCCCGGCTTTTGTGCCTTACAAGCCTTGATGCTTGCCATACGAGTACTGGGTTGGTACACTAAACCGTCTGCTCACAAGGAAAAAACAGGGAGCACCGCATCAAAGGTGTCGGTTGCTGTGATCTCTTCCGACGGCTAAGATCTCAGCTGTTTCTTTGCCCTGTGATCTCCTGTGGCTGCATGCCAGCATTGCTCAATTCATGGATCCAACATGCTCTTTCGCTTCCAGCACTGCATGCTGCAGCCCCACAACTGTTACTAGACACACTGTACGCCGGCTTCTCCTTGACCAAACCGCCGGTGGCAGGCTCGGCGAAAAGGTCCCCGTCCGTTTCCCGGGTCCGTCCTGCTGAGGTTTTTCCACGGACTCAGGCCGACGGAGGCGACGGTTTTGGGAGGGACCGGTGGCAGAGGGACCGGTGGTCCGTCTGGAAAGCTGGAAAGCAGGTGTCCCGGATCCCGAACGACAGAGGAGGCACGTTGAAGGGAGTTGAAGATAGCCATCATCAGACTCTGACCTCTTTTCATGTAGCCAACAGGAAGGCGAGGTTTTGGAGGGATCTTACCTTGGGGATGTTCAACATGTCCAGCTTCGCAGTCCCCAAGCGCCCATGACGTTCTGGTGGCTTCCTCCCCCAGTGCTTCGGTGCACGCCGAGAGTCGGACGTGGAGTCGCCGAGCGAACGGGGCGAAGCTGCCAGGTAAGTAGGTCCTGGAGTGAACGCCAGTTTATGGCATCATGTCCAACCAAAGGGTTACAGAACTCCGTTGATTGGGGCATATCACTAGCATTCAGATATTGAAAACCATATGACACCCTTTTGGTTGATTTGGGCCGCGATATATCAAGCTGCTTTCAGAGATGTTGTGGACTCGCTACCTTTGCGCTGGGCTCAAAAGCTTTTTAGCTGAGTGCACGGCGCGGCACGCACGCCTGTGTTACTTTGGACGACCGGAGGAGCTTTCTCAGAGCTCCAGGCACGGACTGCTTTGTACCCGATGCCAACAAAGACAACGAACAGTGCAGATCGAATTGCTGAGATTTTGGTGAAAAAGTAAAGGACAAAAGTGGAAAGAACTACTGTATTGGAACAGGGAGACCCCTAAAGACGCCCTGGTTAAGAGCCCCGTTCCGAACAGGAACCCGAATGCTTTTCGCCCGAAACTGGGGAGGCCCAAATCTCTGGGCTTGGCGCCAGAACCCCCTGGGTGGAAGCGCACCTGGGACTGGTTTGGGTGAATGAAGGAACCTCCTGAGGTCGGTCAGCCTTCCAGGTGACACAAGGGGTCAACAAGGTAAGGTCAACAAGGTCAAGGTCGGTGAGAACCCAAAGTCCGGTGGAAAAGCACCTGACACATGAAAAGAACGGATTACTGATTACTACTTGGCATTTCCAGGAGTGGTTTTCTTCTGGCTTCTCCAGTTTTTTTTAGTGGGGTATGCTAAGCGCCATCGCTTTTTGGATGATTTTTGACAACTTGATGCAGGTCAGTGCAATCAAGGGTTCCATGCGGACAATGCGGACAATGGTTGATATGACGGCAATTATTGGCATCCGACTACTTAAAGAGAGGCAAAACAAACAACCATTTTGACATCCTAGACTCAGACTTCTTGTTGGCACATGATTGGGATCGGAGCCATCCACTGGTTTGTAGCCATTGCTCCTACCATTGGTTGGAAGTATATCAGCATCCTGGAATCCTATGACCCTCTAGCCATTGGTATCTCTGACGTCTCGCCCACAGGTGGCAATGGCCATGGAGGGTCAGGAGATCCATCTGTTACAGGGAAGATTCAGTCAGAAGGGTGGTGAAGAGACCCTTGAGAACCACTAAGCGTGGCTAAGAGTGGCCTAGAGTCACTAGCCATAGAACATACCAGAAGACTCCCCAGTCAGAGGATGAGGACGTTGTTCCTTCGTTGCTTGGGATGTGAGGCCAGTGGACTCCAGGACAAGTGCCTGGAGTCCTGCGGGGAATGATCAAATGCCGTAAGCCCCTACGATTCGAAGCACCATTTGATAGCCTCTTCCAAAAAAGCAGTGTTCTACTAAACGTATTGTACACTCACTACAAAGGCAGGTCAATCATGGTTCAACCAGTTTTTTGAAGGCTAGCGGCTAGGGCCCAGGGTAATGTTCTATTGCCTTCAGAAGTGGTGCTAAGCCACAGCTGATTCGACAGTCTGCACATCATTCACGGCTCAGACGTCACCTTACATATGACAATGTCTCAAAGCCTAAACACTGGGCCTCTGATAGCTGCAAACAACAACCTAGAACCACCACCTATGGTTATTTGGGAAGGATTCTTGTCCTTGCTCTACTGAAATTCTTGGGAACTCCAGCCTGACCACCAGAAGGCTTTAAGCCCTGCCCTGATGACTTTGGGATCAGCTGGTTGGAATTGGCTGTAGCGTTCTGCTGGTATACCCATGTTGCTCTTCCAATTCGGACGCCTGGCGAAGAAAGGGATGTATATAATACGAAGGGGAACCCGTGCCATGTGCAATCGCTTCTTTTGCCACCAGAAAGAAACGAAGCACTTCACGTCGCCCAGAGCCGCAACAGACCCTGTTGCGGTCCAGAGTACGGTTGTTGTGACATGAAACACTGCCACCCCAGTTTTGGCACAAGGTCCAAAAACAGAGTAAATCTATCACTCAGCAATATTATATAATATTATATATATATTATATTGATTAATCTTTGTTATATAGATCTCGATCCTCCTTTCCTTTCTGACTCTGACCTCAGCCGCTTCATTTGTGCCCTATTTGTGCAAACAACATTCTTCCAGTCCCACGCGATGAATGACCATTGAGTCGAATAAACTCTGCAGATCTTTGCGTCACAGTCCGTCTACAGTCTGCAACTGTTCATAGATACAGACTGTAGATCTGTAGCAGATCCTAGGCTTGCATGTAGATTCTTGAATTCATGTGCCTCTACCTTACGCGTGGACGCGAGATTCCTGTATATGTATGTCTGTCTATGTGTTAATTCCCCTCGTGCATCTGCACACGGGTACGTAATATGGGGCAGTATTTTCGTGTCGTACATACCCTGAACACCATGAGCAAGGGATGTTTGCGCGATCCAGACCCTCAAACCCTGGTTGGTTGATTCTCACGTTCTCTCCTCACGCATATGTTGGACGAACGTTACACTCCACCAGACTGCCTCCACGTGGAAGAGAACATTCATCTTCCAAACCATTTGGGAGGATATGATATGATATGTTTGTTTTGGGCTATGCATGGCTATGCGCATTTAGATAAAGAGTTGATGTTTTGATGTGCTTGGTGTTTTTCAGGTGACAGCAGTGTTTGGGCTATGCGCCATCCACCCAATAAGACATGACCGGACCGGGACGCCCCGCCCGAAAATCATCAGACCCCAATCCAACCTCTACCACAGCCCAATGAAAACATGATGTACAGCAACCCGCAGCCCAGAGGTTTGCCACACTTTTGCCACGGCGCCAGCCCTTCCAACGTCCTCAGCACAAATGCCCAACCTTGGTCTGAACTTCAGAAAAGTTGCCTTTCGTTGACGGACAGTTGTAGGACCTCCGCCTGAAATGTGAAGGGTTTGCCCACCTGTGCAGGAGGATTTTGCCGAGCTGGTGCTGGTCTCCAAGCAAGAAGGTGCGACGGGAAGGAAGCAGCGTCCGCAACAACTACGCTGAAGCCGAAATTGTTGTAGTCATTCTTGAGTTGTTGGACACAAACAAAGCATACACATTCAAAATCTCAAAGTTGCTGTAGAGAAAACCGGTTTTGCACGTGAAGCGACAGACCGGTGGCCCAGAGGTAATCTTAATCTCTTTTTTTGCCAACAGTACACTGCTGGTATAACGATTTTGGTGAAATATAATCGACCAGTTGGTTTTCTTTGGGAAAGACCGTTTCATGGTGCCCGGCCCAACCCGTGATGCTTTTGATTGCAGCTTTCAATTGTTGGTCTTCCCTTCACTGCTCTCTCTCTCTCTCTCCCCACCTTTCCTACCTCTCCTCTTCCTACCTCCCACCATGCTGTTTCCACCATCTTTCCTCACTCCCGTCAGGCGATCTGCACGTGGGTCCGGAGCAGATCGTCGTCAGGGACGGCCGACGCGTCCTGTTGGGACGGCTCGACTTCAACGACGTCCAGGCGGGTTTGGGCGGCGAGGAGGCGGTTTCGGGCTTCGGTGGATCGGGGGATGTGGTTCCTTTCCGTGAGCTGGGGAACTTTTTTGGGGGTGGGGAGTGGGGAAGAGGTGTTTTATCCCTTGTTTTCCAGTTTTTTGGGAGCCGCAACTCCAAGTGAGACTGGTGACTTTTGGGTGAGGTGAGAACACTGGGGTGGGTTATTCTTCGTTTCCTTTCCTATTCTTTTGGGGGAGGGGTCTTCCTTGAGGGGGCGTCCGTCCTTAGGATGTGAAGTCCTGGCTTTGTTGCTTGGTCTTCAGTTCTGGGAGAACTGCCTTCAGAACCCAGTACTGAACCCTTTGCCCAGGTGAACCACCGGAAGATCTCGGGCAAACATCTGGAGCTTCGCCCGGGGACTCACCTCGCCGTCGACGGTTTGTGTGGCGGTGTGGAGCCAGGTGTACCTGGTGCATGGGCTAGAGATGAGTTTTGGTCATGAGGCTGAGGGCAGAATTCCAGGTGAAGCACCAATAGTAATTACCTGCGTTACCTGGCATTGTCCCCTCGATTCGTCTCACTGTCTCTTCACAGGACTTCACCCTTTCGTGATGAGATGCAGAAGACCGGTGTAGACGTGTCAGCTCAGCCTTCATTAAGTTAAACTCGACGCTGTGGTCCCAGTCGCACAGCCATGTTTTTTCATGCCACTGGGACCTCCACCCTTTTCCCTTCGAAACAGAATGCCGCAAAGGACACTACATAGAATGACCGAACATGTTGGGTTCGTTGGTTTTGCATGCAGATTTGATACCGGTAACAGCCCATGATGCATTTGGATGGGGGCAGATGTACCTCGACAGCGATTGGGAGTTTACTTTACTGTGCACATGTGGACTGCTCTTTCTGGCAAACCCATGGCAAGTCCAACGGATGCCGATGCGCGCGTGCGAATTTTTTTCGAGAAAGGTCGACCAACTGACTCGTTTTCGCCAGTTAGGTTATCTACAATTCTAGAGAACTGAAAAGAACAGTAAGTAGCTTGACCACCGCGTATCCAGACGACGACCGGGTGGGCCAAGCCGCCCAGGTTGGGCGTCAGGCCGCGTGGAGCTTCAGGTGTTGGGATCGCTGGGATGTTGGCTGAACGATGTCTACATGGACAAGGCAGGGGAGAAAGGAAAGAAAAGGAAAGGAACGAAGCAGAATGGCAGGGTTTCAAGACCTGACAAGTGTTGGTGCTTGATTTGATGTTTCTTGTGTTGGGGCAGAGTCGACTCATGAGTCTCTCACAACATTGCTGAGTTCCTGTCAATCCGACTCCATTCAGACCTGGACCCAGGGCACAAAGTTCTGCATGGACCACTCAGAGAAGATCACCTTGGCCACCAAACCCAAGGACATCAAGTCAGTGACCTGCCAAGGAGGGAGTAAGGAGAGGAACCAGAGGATTCGGGTCCACCAAGCAAGGTCTTTTGGGTTTACACCCTGGAAGATTCAACATGGAACCTGAGAAACTGAAAACCATGTCGTCTCTGAACCCGGTTCCATGTGGGTCTCTGAACCCACGGTCGCGCACCGGCGCGCAGCGCACCCCCCGGCAAATCCGAGTCCCGGGACGGAGAGGAGCCACGCTGAGCTGAGGTCAAGGAACTGAAAGATCATGTTGAGATTTGCAGCATCTTGGCCGAAGTGGGTTTAGGATGGTTAGGTATGTTTGGTTTAGAGATTTCCTAATGGTTTAGGATGGTTTAGGTATTTCCTATATTGGGCGAGTGATTCATTGATGGGAGATGAAGGGGATGGAGATACAGAGATGGGCTATTCAACTATTCTTTTCGCAGCAATTGTTTCGTTCCACCCAGCTTAGATCTCACACCTCAGCAACTCAGTAGTATATATCATGTACTGTCATGTAATGCCATGTCTAATTATATATATGCTTATATATATAAATGCATTAATATATATATATATACTGTTGCTGTAGTATAATAATAATGTCTATACAGTATTCTACAGTATATATAATGTTAATCACGGTGCAATGTTGACCACCCTTCCAGCACGACCATTGCTGCCCTTGGAATGGCTCTTTTCATCTCAGCTCAGCTTGGCTCCGCTGAAGCCATGACCGCGCGAAGCGCAATGAGCTTTCAGAGCCACCGCATGCACAACAATCAACAGGTCTTGACATATGTTGACTTATTGAATATATAGATATGATGTCACCACTTCTGGAGTTCACTTTGTGACTGGCAATTATATGGTAATTATATGATTTTGTGTTTCCATTTCGCCCACGCTCTCCACCCCCAATGATGCTTTCCACGTGTTGATCCCAGCAGTCTGAGCTTGCTTCGGTGCCAGTCGCACCGCTTCGGTGCCCTCCGCGACGCCGCGTCGCGCTGCGTCGCGGGTCGACTCCATTCGTTTTTGAAGGCTTTCAGCTCAGAGTGCATTCAAGACAGTCACCAAGAGAGGCCGGCAGGGGTGATTTCTCTTTCACGTGGGCAATGGACCTTCGAAGTGGCCAGTGATGGGAAGACAGGATGATGATTTGTTTAATTCACAGAAACCACACGCTTTTGCTATGGCATGCTATGGCCATTTGACCTCCAACATGCGACGATGGCGAGACAACATATCATGACCACTTTTGTGTGCAGTTGTTTAAGCATTTCCGGATGGAATAGAGAGAGAGAGAGAAAGAGATCATTTACAGTATCGTAGTTTTGTGAAGCAATTTCTTCCGAGAAAGACGGTCCGGGACAGCTGTCCTTGCAACGATCCAGCTTAGCACCAAAGATTACCATGTTGGATCCAGCTTTGTTCACTCCCCATCCAGCGGACGCTGAGACCTCCAGCGGACTGCTGTTCCGCGCGCCGCAGACCCGACTGGTTCATGTCCCCGATCACGCGCAAGTGACCCACCCGATCGACGCCCCGAGCGAAGAGAATGCGTTTTTGTGACATCCGTATGGTCACAAGACCCTTTGACTTTGGATTGAGTGAGATTGTTGAGACTTTCTCACACTTCACGGGTCACTTGGGCCGATCCTGAGTCCAGTGACCCGAGAACGCGTCTCTCCCTCAGGACTCCGAGAGGCGCTTGGTTCGGTGACGAGGGGCGCGTTGGATCGGTGGACCGGTGAAGGTCGGGAGGAACGGCGTTGGTTTGTTTGTTGACCCTATATACACCACACACATATATATATATATAGTTGACCAGGCTGGGTATTTCGAGGTGTGTGTATATATATATATAATATATACATATCCATGATCTCCGGAATTCACAGGGGGAGCGAGAGACGTTTGGGTGTTTGGGTGTGCACTAGAAGATTGATCTTTTAGAGCACAGGCTTTGATCTGGATATTGCAGTAGCTCAGCATAAGACGGATGGTTGCAACAAGGAGTGATAATACTCGATGGGACCACAGTGTCTAAAATAGCAGTTGCTCCTTGGGAGATTATCCTGGACCAGCGACAAAAGAAAGGGTTGAAACACCATTTGCCATCACCTTCATGTCAGGGTCCGCCAGCACTGACCAACCTGGGGGCCCAACTTGGGCGAGTTTTTGGGGGTCCTATTCTTTCGGTCGCACCATGTCACACCCATAATTGAGGCAGTGGGCCAGAAACCCACCACATCAGGGTCCTCCAGTCCATCGTTTGTTCATTTGGGGAGGTCAACTTGATTCATTTATTTCTTCAAATCTTTTGGCCTCCAAACCTCCAGCTGTTTGCCGGTTTGCTCATGCTCAGGGTCTCTGGTCCAGCCGCCATCAACGCAGCAACGTGCGGCCCTCGATGAACGATGCACTCTTGCCACCTAAGGTGGATGATCAGTTTTTTGGATTATCATGGATTATATATCATGATCTAAGAAACATCGGACCAATTCACGGGTAACTTTGTGATATAGTTGGATGCAAGATTTCGTGGACAACTTGCTTGGTGGAGATGTTTGAAGACAGCCCGAGGGGGTACAAGTCACCTGAACAGCTCTGTGACCACTGAAGATCAACCACCTGCCTGCTGCTTTGGCCCACAGAAAATCCGCGGCAGTTTTGCAGCCCGTGCCCTTTGACAGTCTCCTCTCGAGCCACCTGCCAGCAAGAAGAGAATGCGTGAGATAAGGAAGATCCATGGTGTGGGATGGTTTTGAACCCAAATATGAGAATGTCATAGTGTAGCGATCCCCTGGCCACAAGCTGATACAGGATGTTCAGCAATTGTTTGCAATTGTTGTATGTGATTATAACTTATAGCTGTCTTACAACTGTGATATGATATAGTGGTTCATTTAAGTTATGACATTCCAAACTTATGTTCAGGACGTCTTCTTTGCGTTCGTGACCTCCTTCGCACATCTCGACTCGACCATCGGACCGAGAACCTCCGTCGTGTTTAGGCCTCCGTCGACCCGACTCTTCGACCCCTGTCAGGTGAAAGATGGGCAGCACCTCTCAGGAGTTGATTCAGCAACTGCTGCAGGCGCCGAGAACCTTCGAAGAGTGTCGAGAACGTCGAAGGTCGGGTCGAACGAGAAGACGACCGAACGAACGAACCGCCGTCCGAAGAGTGTCGAGAACGTTCGTGCGGATGAGTAAACAGCACATAGACTCCCTGCGTAGGACACGTGAGGAAGAGCTGAACCACGGCTGTTTTCGTTTGCAAAAAGACGTCAGCTAATTAGCCATGAGGCCTTCTCGCTCAGAGTCCACAGTTGCCCCCCCCATTTTGGCTAGATTCCTTTAGGCCGCCGACCATCGGGAAGCCGCGTTCGCCCGCGTGGCGCCTCCTCCAGGCGGAGAAGCAAGCAGAGGAGATCATCACCAACGCCAAGAAGAACCGATGCTCGCCGTGACGACGGGGGGCGCTGGTCCGTTTCTTGGGGTGGAAAGGCCCGTGGTGGCGTGCATGTGGAGCGTTTCTTGGGGGGTCGGGGTGTTATGTTGGTTGGGAGTTCAGGAACACATCGAGAGTCCATGGCATGGTTTTTCAATGACTCAGACATGCACCAGGTGCGGGCGGTGCACAGTCAATTGTTCATATAAGCAAAGATTATTTCAAGTATTTTGTCTCTCACAGGTTCTCCCATGAGCCATGAGAGGTGGCTTCACAGTAGGTTTGATTTGGGGGACAGAGGCAGGAGAACGAGATCTAACGTTAACATCAAGGAACCAGGAATCCAAAATCACGCAGAGGATATGTAGAGTCAGTAGAGGAACAAGCACTGCTGACCAATCCTCACCAACATAACTATTGACGCGCTTGCCTACAGGGAACGTTGTGTTCTTTTTTTCTAGAGTAATAAGCTGTGCTTTGGTTGCGTATATGCGTCTATAGGGTCAATCCGCGGGAACACACCCCACCGCGCACGTCCAATGTTACATGTGCTTCGGCGTTGGATCTGCGTTCTGCGAGGCGCCCTCCCCCAGTCCCTCACAGAGCGGTTCTTCCCGCCTCAGGTTTGACCAAGCTGCGTCAGGCTGGGTCGGAATGGGCCCGAAGGATCAAAGCGGTGAGCAGCCCGGGTCATTGGCAAGAAATCTGTTTTCGATGTGGAGGCCATCCACAGCTTGCTTCGATGCATGCTGAGAAACCGCAGTGTTGGAGTTGGTGCAGTGTTGTGAGAGGATTAACGGAACCCAATTCCCAGCAGGTTGGAGGAAGATTAAAGTAGATTAAAGTGAAGATTACTGCAACCAGGATGTTTTTCGCGTGTTTTTGTTTTCAGCTTTTAGACGACAGTCGACTGCATCTTCCAATTCAAAACGCCCCGGCCACTGAAAAGGCGAAAGACAAGGCTGAGGAGGAGCTGAAGGCCAGAAGCTGCCGACGAAGCCAAAACCTTTATTCACACAGAAATAGTCTATTCCAACATGCGCCAAGAGGTTCCCTTGTTTTGACATCGGACATCGGGGTGAGAATCTCTCCAATAAACAGTTGTTAAGTTTGCAGCTGGATGCAGATGTTTGTCGATCAACAATTTTCGAGCAACAGTCCTGTAACAACGGTCTTTGAACACACATGTTATATTAGTTGGTAGGTATCATTTCGAAGAGATCCGCATGGATGAGTGTACCCACAGAGGAAATAAGTACCCCAAAAAGAGGGCAATGGCTGATGCAGAACTTGGAGCTCTGCCAAGTGCAGCCTCCTTTCCCAGGACTTCCGGGAGAAGGAGGAGGCCAGATTCCAGAAGGAAACAGGCACCGCAGCGGCTGCAAAACCTTTCACGACAAAATCAACCAACGACCAGTCGTTGATTTTTCGAGTTGTAGAACGGACAGGTCATGAACCAGCTGGCAGCTCCAATGTCCTAGGGTCCTAGAACGTTATTTTGAGGCAACCTTGGGGCAGAAAAAGGAGAAAATAACGCTGGACCACGAATGAGTATATGACAGTTTTTGTTGCGTTTTCCATGAATGCCGAATGAGAAAACACATCATGGCTCATTCGTGGGATTTGATCCACCCGCGTCGCTTTTGGAAGTCACTCACCATCACTCACTCGATTCGAGGTACAAAGACCAGTGCCAACCCGGCGGATTCCTTGAAGGCCGAACTTGGGCGGTTCAGGTGGATGCTGGGGGCTTGGTATGGCTTTGGCATCGAAGTCCAGTCATGACTGATTTGACGTGCAAAAAGATTTCGTGTTGGGGTTACCAGCAACGATTTCAAGATGTTTTTTTAGTTGCTTGGTAAGGGCCAGTGGTACACATTGGCTCTACCAACGACTTTTAATCTCAGAATTGCTTTGAATATGTGCGGGTGAAAACCAATCCACCGGTTTTGGGGTGAACGACCCTTTTCGATCCGTTTTGGCCGCAGGTGTCAACCCAGACCGAGATCGATGGCGTTCACCAGGCCGCACCAGGAAAACGGCCGGAGTGGTCACAATCGCAAATGGCCCGCCACGGGTCTGTTGTTGTTTGATTTCAAGATATTTCAAGAAGTTTCAGGCAAAAAACAACTACCAAACCAAATTGTCTCGACAGGTTCTTTTCGTTTCTCCTTTTTTCGGTGACATATGGTGACGTTCATTTTCTCAGCCGACCTGCATCGGTTTGGCAGCTCTTTTTTGTTGGCCATGCCGAGCTATATTGTTTGACGGTGGGGAAGTAACCGTTAAACCAGACGAGTCATCTCGGACGAGCTGTAGAAACCATTAACGTTGTATTGAGTATTGTAGACTCTTCATAAGGCACAACCCCCTGTCAAACATGGATTGTAAAGCCTCTTCAGGCTTAGCAAGGGGGTAAAGGTATCACTAGTCTACTCGCTGCAGGATTATGCCAAGAACAAGGTCAAGACCATCCAGTACGTGACCAGCTCAGTCGAGTCACATGGAAGGATGTGCCGAACTTGGAGGTAGGGGTGCCCCTGTCACATCCACTCAGAGGATGGGACGAAAACACCAACCCAACTCCACGTGGCTCCTGGTTCATAGATCCGCGTTAGCAATTGTATATAGAGTCTGTCAATAAGGGGGACGTGAGACGTGGACTGTTTCGGCAAACTGATTGCCACAAGAGGTTGCGACTCCCACTGATCGCATTTGCATGTAGAAAGTACGAATGACTTTGTGGGACCACTTGCCACAAACTACATTTCTTCACCTCCGTGTGGCTTCCATACACCAGAAGTGGCCTCTATTCCTTGGGGTCGCACCAGAAGTAGACCAGTGCTGCATGTAACAGGGTCTAATTCGTGATGAATTCTCTCCGGGCGTTTAGGGGAATCTGGTTTACCAATTTGATCCAATTATACTCCCCGAACGGAATCCGGTCGTTTTGTTTGCTTTTTGGTGTTTGTTTGGGATCGTTCTTCGAGACATGGTGGAGTTTTTTGTTGGCCAAAGACAGGCCCGTCCTTCAATCCCTTTCATGGACTGTGATGAGCATTAAGGATTTTGTTTCAGGAGCAATGATTTCGTACTCGTGCTGAGACGCCGAAGAAGAAGAAGGCCTGACACATCCTGACACAATGTTATCAAAGAATCAACTTTGCTCAGGTGGTCAGCAAAGTCCTTGAAGTCCCGGCCACACTGTCGGATACGCAGAAGCAGGCAGAACCTGAACAACCTAGGGCAGCCCCCTGGAGAGTCAACCAAGAATGAGGGGCTTTTCGGGCAGATTCTCAGGCAATTCCTCTAGCTAGAGTTCAAAGACCATAGCACAAAGTGGAAACCTTTAGGAGGGCAAGAAGGAAAAACAGGAATGGTGGCTAGAGGAAGGCGGGGTAGAGGAAGGGGAGAAGGGAAGGAGTCATGTCCCTGCTCTACAGATCGAGAATGCTTCATGCTGCTCAGCATGTTTCGCAGGAAGCTTCCGGTGTTTCGCAGGCTTTGAAGACGGGCGCGATCTGAGATCTGGCAGCGGAACCCAACGACGGGGCGCTGAGTTCAAGGAGCGGTTCATGCCATGCGCAGGTGGAGACATGAAGTATAGTTATAGTTCATACTAGTTCCGTTATGCTCCGTTTGGGGCCGGGGCCGAAGATTGATACATCAGGAATCCTATAGTGATTTCTATATGACGTTTGCCGCTTTTCAAGATTTTTGCAACCTTCTTCAGGGTCTTGAGAGGTCGAGGTTGATCTTGGCCGATATTTGATATTGTCGATAACTTCTTTGAATTGCTATTGAAAGTTGGTTTGATGGGACAGGGTTGAGAATCTTTGCGGGGGACTTGTGGCATAACATCTACCATTCCTTGGATCAAACATTATTTGTAATGTTGTTCTAGTAGCGTTTCTTCTCCTCTTGGGCCACAAAACCTGTCAGATTTT